TCGGAACACAAAAAGATGAGAAAAAAGCATTTGAGTGGTATTTAAAATCAGCAGAGGGTGGAGATGCTACGGGACAAGCTAATCTTGGTTGGTATTATCAAATGGGTGTAGGAACACAAAAAGATGAGAAAAAAGCATTTGAGTGGTCTTTGAAATCAGCAGAGGATGGAAATGCTAGTGGACAATGTCGTCTTGGTTGGTGTTATGATAATGGAATCGGAACACAAAAAGATAAGAAAAAAGCATTTGAGTGGTATTTGAAATCAGCAGAGGGTGGAAATGCTAGTGGACAATGTCGTCTTGGTTTGTGTTATGATACTGGAATCGGAACACAAAAAGATGAGAAAAAAGCATTTGAGTGGTATTTAAAATCAGCAGAGGGTGGAGATGCTACGGGACAATCTAATCTTGGTCGGTGCTATCGAAATGGTGTAGGAACACAAAAAGATGAGAAAAAAGCATTTGTGTGGTATTTAAAATCAGCAGAGGGTGGAGATGCTACGGGACAAGCTAATCTTGGTTGGTGCTATCGAAATGGTGTAGGAACACAAAAAGATGAGAAAAAAGCATTTGTGTGGTATTTAAAATCTGCTAAATCTGAGTTTGATCTCGCTCAATTCAGATTGGCTGAACAGTATCAATACGGATTTGGAGTTCCAAAAGATCTTTTTATGGCGTTGAAATGGTACGAAAAAGCTTATCGAAACGGTTATAATCTAGCGAGGGAGCATGTTAAAAACAACATATTGATTTTATGATAATTTTTTATTAGCTGCTAATTTAGTACATTTGATCTTTAAAAAAAATTACGAGATAGTAAATAATATATTCATTTATGATTATCCTTTATTTTAGCACATTTAACTTTCATAATGATCCCCCACATTAAATAAGATTGAATTTTAGCAATATAATATATAGACAACATGATCTTATAGGTTTACAGTAATAGTTATTAAGTTAATAAAGCATGATAAATCTTCTATACTCTGTTTTGCCATTTCCGAATTCAAGTTGTAAAAAATAAGCAAAACATGAATTTGGCCAAATTTACATCAAGCAGTCAATGCCAGAGAAAATTCTAAATTTGGTGAGGATTTTGAACCTTTAAAATCCCGTATTTGCGTATTGGCTTTTTATTGTTATCAAATTTCTGATCGCACAAGAATTGATCGAACGTTAGAGGAAGGTGCCAGTTGATTATATGCTATTGTAAGCGAATTAAGATTTTGATGTAATATATCAGTTTCAACAAACTTATTAGTATATATAATGTTGATCTATCGGAATGGCTTCTTCATAGACTATTTCCGAAAAGATAATTCCCCTGGCTATTTTTAATTATATCTAAAAAAAAAAAAGTAATGTACAGAGTAAATAATTAATTATATAACATTTAAATATGCCATCTTTATGAAGATTTATTTATTTTGTATTTTATGAGGATTCAATTTTAGCAGTAATAATAATAACTCGGTACAATAGTTATAAATACTTTACAGTTATCAAAATTCTATAAAAAAACTCAGAAAATTCTCTGAAATAATGGTTCCAGAAAAAATTGAAAAACCTGTTTTTTCTGAAAATGTCCAGATAATTTTCTAAGTTTTTTTTTAATATTTTCTGATTTTTTCTGAACTTTTATTTTTATTTTAAATTCTGTAAATTTATCAATCAATTTGGTAAACCTCTAATTCAATTATAAAATCCTGTTTTTTTCTAAAAGTATTTCTGAATTTTCTTGCTATATTTCTAATTATTTTATAAATTAGCATCTTAATAATTCAAATTAATTTTCAAAAGAAGTCAATTCATGCATATTCTATTAAATATATATTTTGTTATATTTTTATAATTAATATATTTCTTAATTATTTCTGAAAAAAATTGATGATTTTATTTTATTTATAAATCTAAATAATTTACTTTTCTTATAAATATAAAATATTTTGAAATAGTTTATATTTTATTTGCTCTTTTTTTAATAAAATCAAGATATTTCCAATTTAATATTCTTTACTTAAATGATTTTAATATTCATGTTTCTAATATTCACAGTTTTGATATTCATATTTCTGATATTTATGTTTCTGACATTTGCATTTCTAATATTAATATTCATGATTCTGATATGAATAGTTGAAATACAAATCTAATTATTTAACAAATAAATAAATAAGTAATATTAAATATTTGAAATAATTATATTTAATCTCTTCTATTAATATTATCATAAAATTCTAATACAAAGTATTATTATTATTGATTACTTGAAAGTTAATAATATATTTAGCAATAATATTATAATAATATAATTAAAATTTATTACTTAATAATTAATTAATTAATTAAAAATTAAATAAATTAGGAAAATAATATTTATTAGATAATTTTATAAGAATTTTTATTAATCATTAAAAATAATTATAAGTTTATTAATTAGTTTAAATATTATTAAATCAGAAGAGATATTTCTTTAATTAATATAAATTCTTTATAAATAAAGCTCATATAACTAATATTATAATATCTTGCAACAAGTCATTATTATTATTACTTAGTTATTAATTATTAATAATAATATCTTTAATTACTTATAATTATTTCTAAATAAAAATTAATATGTGTTAATAATATTATTGTATAATGATCTTTCATTATAATATTTCATATTATTGAATTATATATATTTTATATCTTATTAAATAAAAGTCAAATCACGTGAAGCGAGCAAATATGCGAACATATGAATAAACAAATGAATAACTAAACAAATGAACAAATAAATAAGCAAATGAATAAGCAAATAAATAAGTGAATATTAGACCAATAGAATTTAAGTAATATAGGAAACATGAATTTATATAGCTGATAAACTATATTTTGAATTTATATAAAAGCAAAATGTATTATAATTATTAGAATTAGATATGAATAAGTTCTTTTAGATAGTAATTCTCAATTATCACATCTAATTAATTATCACATAGTTTTGATCATTCAAAAAAGTAAAGTTTGCATTTTATGTAAAGTAAGTAGTCAAGCACAAACTTTTCTCTATATTCTTTGACAAAATATTCATTTTCTTGTATAATAGCTTTATAAAAAGTTATACAAATTTTGAATTAAAATATATTATAGTAGCTTAAGCAAAATTGCCAGGAGCACTATAAAGTTATCATCTTTATTCTAAACTTTTTAAATATATTGTAATAAAGTCTATTAAATATTATATTAAATAAGAAATTATTATTATAATTTATAAATCTGTCTTTAAGATTGTATTGTTAATAATATATTGCTCTTTGACTTTGTATTACTAATAATATATTGTTTATACACTACCTGGACAAAAGTCTTGCACATCGAAAATTTTTAATTACATAAAATTGCACATAATAATTATATTTCAAATTTTAACAGTTTATACTTTAACCAATGAAGTAACTATGTATAATCAATATTTAGTAGGCCAGCCATTGCTTGTAATAACTGCTTCTATTCTTCGTGGCATACTTTCTATCAAGCTGATTATTTGATTCATCGAAATTTTACCCCATTCTTCTTGTAATGCAGTTTCTAATTCTGTAATGTTTTTTATGGCTTGTGGTCACTTTCTTATTTGTCTTCCCAGCTCTGACCATAAATGCTCAATTGGATTTAAGTCAGGAGACTGGCTTGGCCAATCTGGTAAAACATTAACTTTGTTTGTGAGCATCCACTGCTTGACATCCTTTGCAGTATGAACTGGGGCATTATCATCCTGAAACAGATATCCCTTGCCATTGAATTCCTTATTTATCAAAGGCAGTAAATGTTTTTCCAGTATCTGTATATAATCTAGTCTATTCATTTTACCCTCCACCTTTACCAATGGACCCAATCCTTTACCTGAAAAACACCCCCACACTATTAGTCCTCCACCTCCAAATTTTACAGTTGGAACCATGTTTGCAATATTAAATCTAGTGCCAGGAGTTCTCCAGACGTGGCCTGGTCCATCATTGGCAAATATTGTAAATCTACTCTCATCACTCCAGATGACAGACTTCCATTTTCGAACAGTCCAGTTTCTTT